TTATCTTTATCTTTATCTTTATCTTTATCTTTATCTTTATCTTTATCTTTATCTTATCCTATCTCATCTGATCGCATTTCACCTTTTCTGACCTCACTGTGTCTAATCTTTTCTTATCTTACCTTATCGTACCTTGTATCAATGCACAGCTGCCCGCTTTCACCTGCATGGAGTTTGAGATCGTCAAGGAGTCTGTGTTGACGATGACTGAGGACGACCTGATGCAGATTCCCCTGGAGACTTTCTGTGAGTGCAGCCACTTCTATGTGGAGTTCTTGGACCACAGGTGTGAGCACAATCCACGCACGTGTGAAGCCTTTTGGGAAAAAGTGAGTACATAATATTGTGTAGTATTTTATAAATGATTAGCAATTAATTGATCGCAGTGTGGAAATTTGGGTTGCAATGGCAAACAAACATGACTAAATACATGATTATAAATACTGTTCCTACATGAACACGGACATAAATACGTACATAAATACATTTAAAAAAATATTATTTCTTGTGTACAATTCACAGTAAGCTAATGAATAAATGCGCCAAACAGTATATGCACTGTGACTGGGTCTCACGCTTGATTAGCTAGAGTTTCCTTATGTTAGTAACTATCTTCTAATCGATTTTCTCGTATTTAGCGAGAAAAATGGCAGAACATAAGGAGACAGAAAGAGAAAGAAAAGAAAAGAGGGAGAGGGAGAGACATGAGAGATAGAGAGATAGAGAGTGAGAGAGATAGATAGAGAGAGAGGGACGTAGAGAGATTGAGAGAGAGATTGAGAGAGAGAGAGAGAGAGAGAGAGAGAGAGAGAGAGAGAGAGAGAGAGAGAGAGAGAGAGAGAGAGAAAGAGGGCGGGGAGGGGGAGGAGGTCTGGTCTTTATTGGCAACTGAATGCTCCGTTCTGGACAATGCCCTCAGACAATCAAACACACACAATGTCGACGTCTGTATGTGTTGCTGTTCGCTTCGAGAAAAAAATCGGTCAGCCATGGCTATCGACAATTGACAGCCGGCAAATAGTTCGATCGTAACTGTATTCCGCACTGCTCTGATGGTCTTCCTACTGAAATAATCCAGCCCATTATGTTCAACTGAGAAGTTTGACTGAGCTGTGGGGCATACTGTTACAATAATTAATTTGTTTGTGGAATTCGACTGATCATAGAACAGGACACCATGACAGAATTGATTTTTTTTCTTTTCTGTTTTTCTTTTTTTTTGGCGG